AGAGAGAGAGAGAGAGAGAGAGAGAGAGAGAGAGAGACGGTACACATATTCAGAAGTTCGAACACAACTTATTCACAGCTAAATCTGCTTAATGTGATGTATAGCTTCATTTTGAACAGCATATATAACATATGCACGAAATCAAGGATCTGCACGAGCAAGTAACCTAACATTAAATTGCTCTAAAACTGTCAATCTTATCAAGTCTTGCAATGCCTGAACTCGAAGATTCTCCCATGATGTCGGGGGCAGCAGCAGCAGCAGCAGTGGCATGGGAAGACGCCTTCTTTAATGAAGTCGGCAAACCAGAAATTTCCTGAATATATGCACACAAGATTTTTAGGAAATGAAAATTTTCTTGTCGGTTATTAGTCATCCCTTCATGCAGGATATTGGGAAAATGGCAAAATGCACTCGATCGCATAGTACCGAATACATGGAGAGATTATCCATTTCTAGTTAACTCTTTTCTGACTACTTTTTACAGCAAAAAATAAAAAATAACTATAAAAAAACAAACACACAACCTGGTTCTTGCTCTTCCACCACCAAAAACAGAAAAAAAAACCAAGGAAAAAGAAACGAGGAGAAAAATAAAAATAAAAAAAAATAGAAGAGTAGCTGCATACCTTCATCAAATGCATCCTTAGGTCGCATGGCCGAACTTGATTTCCAAGACAAGCCAATGCAAATTTTGAATACTGAAATAGGACATCTGCAGCGGCTTGCTTCTTTTCTTCAATCTGACATGCACGACATAAGTGAAGATATATAACAGAAAGAAACTTCAAATGATGATACGTTAAATATGTCCCGAAAAAAATACATCAACATCAAAAGTATTTTGTGCATCACTCCATTCCACCACCCGATCCGAATCTAGCAATGAATGATACTTCTTGAATATATAATTTTTGGGACTCTGAGAGTCGAGTTTTTGAGAGAAGTTGCATCTATTCACAAGCTCAATAACAAATATACAGATATTAGAACACAAGAAGGAAACAATTGCACACATGAAGTATCAAAGTTATCCTTTGAGATCAAAAGCAGCATCATTTGGAGATTTTCCGGTCCATTCAGGACCATGGATTATCGAATGTTGTTCTGTTTTTAGATTTGCTGCCTATATTCTCATTCATTTCAGTAATTTCTCCATTAATATGAAAAATAGGTCTATACTACTAGCATTTAGGTCCTTGTGATTATAGCTAGAACTAAATCATAATGATAGCTGTCGTATGGTTCGTTTCTCCCCTTTTCCAAATTTACATTTCCACAAACAGATAAAATCAGAATGTCACAAAAGTTAAAACTTTTTTCACCTTTTGCTTTACACGCTCTAAGAGAACAAAATCTAGTTTCGTTCCAAGTGTAGCTGAGTGCTACGGTTTTCGTTCATAATCTTGCAAGATTTTAAGCTGAAAATTTTTGATATTGGTTTCGTAAAACCTCTTGCACTTGCATATAAAGTGTTGAGCTTCGTCTTTTTCTCCCGAACATTTTCGACCATGTTAGAATTTGTAATATTGTTGGCTAGGAATTTTGCATATGCAACAAATTGTTCACAGTATTAGGAAGAATCAAAATACACATATTAGCCCAATGCTCAAACCGTTGAGACTACCGTCTTCGAAAGTCTATGAAGAAAAACAGTCAATTTATGGATTATCCAGAAAAAGTGACATGGTTAACAACAATTCAATTAATTAAACGTATGCTAACATCTGAAGATAAAACGAGTAACAAGAAGAACAGTCAGAGCAAAATTAAACTAGAGATTGCATTTCTGTAAGATCCAAATTAGAACATAAACAAGCGTACACGCGAAATTAAACCGATCAAAAAGCTCATACAAATTGACATGGGAACCAGAAGTTCCGACACTGATTCGGAAATAATGAGGTAATATTACCTCGTAGTCTTTCATGGCTACACTCTGAACCCCTGGAACCTCTCAACTAGTGTAGCACAGGGAAAGGCTCCCTGAAATTTGAGCAGAGCAGAGCAGAGTAGAGATCCGTTCTCAAAATGGGCAGTTTTAAGAAGAAGGTCAAAGATAAATCATGTTCTTGTTTTTCTCAATTTTGTAGAGAAAATTGCAAATTTGATCCTTTTTTTTTTTGTTTTCTACATTTGGTCTCAGGCACGTCAATTCGGGTCCTTTTTAATTTTTTGTTACCAATTTGGTCCCACTCCGTCAATAGTTAAAAGTCTTCCTCATAAAACGTTAGTTGTTATTTTTAATTTCTTATCTTTTATTTGAAATTCGAACTATCACTCTCATTTTAACAAAAATCGATTTCTCCTCTGATGAAAAACAAAATACAAATTCTTCACAAAAATTAAGGCAGATAATTCATACCAAATTCATCACAAAAATCAACATGAACCTTAGATAAACTGAAATCAGACGCCGACAATGCAACATGCTTCGCTCAGAAGATGCAGCAAGTTCTTCAAACTCGACATACGGTAACATTTATTCTCGTGATTCTTCTTTCACTCGCATTTGAATTTTTTTTTTAAATATTGGCATTTGTTATGTTAGTTTTGTACATTATTTATGGTTTTTCGTTTTGTAAGGCAGAGATATATGATTTAGGGTTTAGAATTTGGTAATTTAGGGCTTTAGGGTTAATTTTATTTGAAAATTTAGGGCTTTAGGGTTTATTTTATCTGATAAATTAGGGCTTTAGTGTTTATTCTCTACAATGTAATTTGTAATGCTAAGATTAATGTATGTGGTCCATTAACATTCGTTTTCTGATAAATTAGGGCTTTAGTGTTTATTCCCTACAATGTAATTTGTAATGCTAGGATTAATGTATGTGGTCTATTAACATTCGTTTTCTGATAAATTAGGAATTTTGATGTTGACATTTAATATATTTAGGACATGTTTTTTTTTTTATTGTGATGAATGGTGGTCCATGAAATTGTTATGTTCCTTCAAGTAGACAATTTCAGTGGTGGTCCATGAATTTTGTTGTTATGTGTTTATTTTTATTTTTACAAGTGATGAGTGGTGGCCCATGTATCAGTTTTTTTATTTGTTTCATGTTATTGAATTGCATGTGGCAAAGACCCTTATTACCTTACCTTGAAACTACACCATGATGGGGTTATAATGGATGAGGAAATCAGAGGTATGTGGGAGGAGAGTTTGCAGCATTTGACTATGTGGACAAATCTAAGGTTAACATGGGTGACTTGTGTAGATTTTGTGAGGAGTTGGGTTATGGTGGAGCCAAAAGGTTTTACATGTTTGACTCCTTCAAAAAGTTCAGGGAGATAACCATGGAAACAAATTTGTTATTGGCTATTGATAGGCATCAGAAGAGAGAAGTCCATATATGGTTAGATGCTGAGAAAACAAGAAATATGACTGTATGTGATAAGTGTGTTCCTATAGATGATGGAGGGTTCCTGTAGATAATGGAGATGGAGATATGAGTGTGCCTGTAGGTGGTGGAGATAGGAGTGTGCCTGTGGATGATGGAGATGAGGGTGACCAATCTTAGGATGAGGACTTTTGTGCAAGTAAGGACACTGAGAGTGGTTTTGATGATATTCTTTTTGAAGAATATGTTAAGGCAGATGAGTGTGTGGAAGGGCCTAAACAGAAAGAGATCCAACATGAGGTTGATGATGAAATGTCCACTGACAGTTCCAGTTCCAACTGCACAGAGAATAGCAGTCATGATGATTTCTCAAGTTGCACTGACTCAGATAAAGAAAATGGGAAAAATGGGGAAATGAGGAAACTGAAAGCAATGTCTTCAATGAGAAGCATATTAACAATCCAAGGTTTGAACTTGGCCAGAATTTTCCCTCCAAGAAGATGTTTAAGCAAGCCATTGCTAACCATGGAGTCCTAACTCACAGAAGCTTGAGGTTTACAAAAAACGATAAAAGAAGAATTTATGTTAGGTGTTATGAAGAGCCAAATGGGTGTCGCTGGGCAATTAATGCCATTAAAGTGACCAATGAAGAATCCTACATGATAAGATCTTACAGCAAGAAGCACTCTTGTGCAAGTTCTTGGAAAGTGAAGAATTTGAAATCAAGATGGATTGCAGACAAATATGAAGAAGCATTCAGAAGTGATCCTGAAAGATCAATCAAGGGTTTCAGGATAGATGCAATTTGTGATCTAAGGTGCCATGTATCCAAAAACAAGGCATTCAGAGCCAAGCAGTTTTCTTTGAAGGAAATTGAGGGTGACCATGCAGACCAATATGCCAAAATGTGGGACTATGCTGAAACATTGAGAGAGAAAAATCCTGGAAGCACCATCTTGTTGACACTTACAGATGCCCCTGGAATTTGAAGATGTATTTGGATATTGTTATGAGGAGGAGTGCACATCTATATCTGACAAACATAAGGGTCTAATTCCTGCATTTGAAGATGTGTTTCCCAGGTCTCATAACAGATATTGTGTGAAACATTTACATGCCAACATGCAGACAACTGGGTTCAGAGGACTTCCATTTAAAAAGGCTTTATGGAGAGCAGGCAAAGCAACAACAGTTCCTGAATTCAAAGAGGCAATGAAAAGGGTTGGGGAAATTGACCCAAATTGCAAGGAATGGCTTGAAGAAAAACCTGCACAACAGTGGTCAAAATCCCACTTCACCACTTCCGTTAAATCAGACATGTTGTTGATTTACATATGTGAGGTGTTAATTAGTTGTATTCTAGAGGCCAGGCAGAAACTAATCTTAGCCACGCTTGAATGGGTGAGGCAATACTTGGTGAGTAGGCTACAAGAGAATAGGGACATGGCTGAAAGGAAATGGGAGGGTAAGAAGATATGTCCCAAGATCAGAAAAATTGTAGATAGTCATGAAAGCAAGTCTTATGATTGAATACCAATCAAATCCACTGATTGAGTTTACTAGTTGGATTGTAGTGGTGGTGAGAGACACATTGTGAACTTGAAGTAAATGGGATTTAACTGGAATTCCATGCAAGCATACATGCAGTGCATTATTGGCACAAGGGCATCAACCAGTTGACTTTGTGGATCAATGTTATTCATGTGAAACATATGCCAAAGTGTATTAAGTAGCCATTAATCCAATATATGGACCTAATCTGTGGGATAGGACATGATACATTCCTCCATTGCCTCCAAACTTTGGAAAAAGAAAAACGGGTAGGCCTGTGAGGGGGAGAAGGATGGGAGCAGGTGAAAATAAGGGTGGTGGTAAAAAAACTAAACTTAGACAGACACTTCAAAAGCAAAGGGGGAAAATGACTTGTAAGTTTTGCCATCAAAAGGGGCATAATTAGAGAACATGTGAGTGGAAGAAGGTGGCCGAAAGTGCACTTGAAGATGGTGCCTTTGACATGGGAGCCGAAGCTGAGGAGTTGACTCAAGGAGATTAGTTCCCATCTGCATCCCTCTTTTCTGAAAGTCAGTCTCAATCCCAAATGAATGTGAGTTATTTATGTCTTGTTCTATTTTAATGTTTATGTATTCCTTATATATTGCTTCTTTTATGAAATCAAAGGTTTGTTTGTTTTTTTGTTTTTATTATATAGGCAACAACATCAACGGGAGCAAGAAAAGGCACTAAAGAGGCTGCTTCTTCAAGTAATCCAATCTCATAAGTCCTCTATTCATTTCTATGAAATATCTACAGTTTCTTGTTTGTTGAAGTAATTGGTTATGTTTTGTGAATATTTTTGGAATGCTGTGAACAATGCATGTAGCATATGGTGGTGGCTTCTTTTGATATTTTGGCTTCTTTGATCCAACTTCTATGAACAATTGTGGTCATTGTAGTGCTGCTTCTTTTTGGTGTTGAATTGAATGGGCAGTGGTGGTTGTTTTTCGAATTGGTATGAGCAATTGTGTTGCTATTTTTTTTTTT